ATAACACACAGATGTTTGTTGCCCTGGAGGCAACATTGGAAATTAGTTAACAGATCTAGCGCAACTCTTTTCCATGGTTCGCAAGTAGTTGGATACACCTGAATTGGATTAGGCCCATTAACATTACCTTTATGTTGCATGCAGACATTACATTTCTTAACATACTCAGAAATATCAGTTGCCATACGAGGCCAAAAGTATTTCAATCTGGCTTGTTGTACTGAACGATCCATACCAGGGTGCACAGCACCTGGTACATCGTGAACTAGCTGTAAGGCTACATTCACTAGGGACTGTGGAATTACTAACTGGTATACCTGTCTGCTAGGAGTACCCAGCTCGGCTGTTTGATACAGTAATTCTTGGTTCATGACAAAGTCACTTACGGGTGCTGGTGGCTTCACAGTCAGGATAAGATCTTCCTGGAGCAGGAATCGAATCACACCAGACCACATGGGATCTGTTCTTTGAGCATTCTTTATTCCCTCGGCAGTAAATGGAGGGTCTGCAGTTAATATACTAACATGTCGCGATAAAGCATCTGCGACTACATTTGACTTGCCAGGTAAGTGTTCAAAGGTAGGATTGAACTCTTGGATAGTCAAGGTCCATCTGGCTAACCTTCCAGTAGGTTGTTTGTTCTGGCATAAAGGTATCAGTGGAGCATGGTCTGTCAAGACATGAACAGGGTACTGATAAATTATGTCTCGGAAGTGCTTTAGAGACCATACGATTGCTGAAACTTCTTGCTCAGTTACTGTATAATTACGTTCAGTCTTCGTAAGGACTCTGCTAGCAAATGCAGCTGCATTGTACTTGCCATCAGTCTTCTGAGCTAGTACGGCACCTATTGAACTAGCATCATTTGTCAGATAGAAAGGCTTAGAAAAATCTGGAAATTTCAAAATTGGAGCAGATGTTAGCTTTTCTTTTAGAGTTTGGAATGCTCTTTCTTGACGAAAGGTCCAAACGAAAGGAGCATCTTTCTTAAGCAACTCAGAGGAGCAGCTATGGAAGAAAAATTGGCAATGAAAGATCTATAAAAACCTGCTAAGCCTACAAAGGATCTTACGGCATCAGCAGTTTTGGGAGATGGAAAATTTAATACTGCAGTTACTTTACTCTGGTCAGTCGTAACCCCTCTAGGAGTGACTTCGTGACCAAGAAACTTGATTTCTGATCTGAAAAATTGACAATTAGACAGTTTGATTTTTAAATTGGCTTCTTCAAGCTTACCAAGTACTACATCAAGTCTTTTCAAGTGCGTATGCACATCTTCAGACATGATGATTACGTCATCTAAGACACCATAAGTGCATTACCTATGAGGCCTCTAAAGATATTAGTCATTAGCCTCGAGAATGTGATACCTGGAGTTTACCTGGAGAGAGTTTCGGGGGTCAACGCCCCGCGGCCCGGTCTGTGACCAGGCCTCCTGGTGGATCAGCGCCTGATCAAACCAGGCTGTTGCTGCTGGCTGCACGCAAACCAACGTACGAGCCACAGCCCGGCTGATCAGGAACTGACTTTAGGTGCTTGTCCAGTGCCAGCTTGAAGACTGCCAGGGGTCTGTTGGTAATCCCCCTTATGTGTGCTGGGAGGCAGTTGAACAGTCTCGGTCCCCTGACACTTATTGTATGGTCTCTTAACGTGCTAGTGACACCCCTGCTTTTCATTGGGGGATGGTGCATCGTCTGCCAAGTCTTTTGCTTTCGTAGTGAGTGATTTTCGGTGTGCAAGTTCGGTACTAGTCCCTCTAGGATTTTCCAGGTGTATATAATCATGTATCTCTCCCTCCTGCGTTCCAGGGAATACAGGTTTAGAAACCTCAAGCGCTCCCAGTAATTGAGGTGTTTTATCTCCGTTATGCGCGCCGTGAAAGTTCTCTGTACATTTTCTAGGTCGGCAATTTCACCTGCCTTGAAAGGTGCTGTTAGAGTGCAGCAATATTCCAGCCTAGATAGAACAAGTGACCTGAAGAGTGTCATCATGGGCTTGGCCCCCTAGTTTTGAAGGTTCTCATTATCCATCCTGTCATTTTTCTAGCAGATGCGATTGATACAATGTTATGGTCCTTGAAGGTGAGATCCTCCGACATAATCACTCCCAGGTCTTTGACGTTGGTGTTTCGCTCTATTTTGTGGCCAGAATTTGTTTTGTACTCTGATGAAGATTTAATTTCCTCATGTTTACCATATCTGAGTAATTGAAATTTCTCATCGTTGAACTTCATATTGTTTTCTGCAGCCCACTGAAAGATTTGGTTGATGTCCGCCTGGAGCCTTGCAGTGTCTGCAATGGAAGACACTGTCATGCAGATTCGGGTGTCATCTGCAAAGGAAGACACGGTGCTGTGGCTGACATCCTTGTCTATGTCGGATATGAGGATGAGGAACAAGATGGGAGCTAGTACTGTGCCTTGTGGAACAGAGCTTTTCACCGTAGCTGCCTCGGACTTTACTCTGTTGACGACTACTCTCTGTGTTCTGTTAGTGAGGAAATTATAGATCCATCGACCAACTTTTCCTGTTATTCCTTTAGCGCGCATTTTGTGCGCTATTACGCCATGGTCACACTTGTCGAAGGCTTTTGCAAAGTCTGTATATATTACATCTGCATTCTTTTTGTCTTCTAGTGCATTTAGGACCTTGTCGTAGTGATCCAGTAGTTGAGACAGACAGGAGCGACCTGTTCTAAACCCATGTTGCCCTGGGTTGTGTAACTGATGGGTTTCTAGATGGGTGGTGATCTTGCTTCTTAGGACCCTTTCAAAGATTTTTATGATATGGGATGTTAGTGCTATTGGTCTGTAGTTCTTTGCTGTTGCTTTACTGCCCCCTTTGTGGAGTGGGGCTATGTCTGTTGTTTTTAGTAACTGAGGGACGACCCCCGTGTCCATGCTCCCTCTCCATAGGATGGAAAAGGCTCGTGATAGGGGCTTCTTGCAGTTCTTGATGAACACAGAGTTCCATGAGTCTGGCCCTGGGGCAGAGTGCATGGGCATGTCATTTATCGCCTGTTGATAGGGGAAAATCGTAACCCGAAGGCCATACGGAGGAAGTGATAATGACCTGTAGGAGTGGAGAATGCGGTTAGCTCTTGGCTGTCCTCATGAAGAGGGACTTACCAAAAAAACCCTTGTAATAAGTCCAGGGTCGAAAAGACTTTATCTCTGATGTTACGTAAAAGATCACCAAGTACAGGAAGTGGGAAGCGATCTGGAATAGTTTTCGCATTTAACTTCCTAAAGTCAATCACTGGGCGCCAAGTACCGTCCTTCTTAGGTACTAGAATCAAGGGTGCATTCCAAGGTGAATTGCTTGGTGCAATAATTCCATCATCAAGCATCTGATTGATCAATTCTTTTGCGACAGCAACTTGTGAATGAGACATTCTGTACACAGGTATATAGATAGGTCTGGTACCAGGTTCAAGTGGGATACAATGGGACAATAAGTTCGTTATACCCATCTTCTCACCTGGTAAGGCAATGGCTTTAAGACGTTTGTTCAACAAAGTCAGCAAATGCTTGACCTCGTCTGGGAAGTCAGTGGGAGCTAAGTCTTTCTTCTCTACTGATGGAATGGATTGATCCAGTGAAGTGGATGAAGTCTCCCCGGTAGAAATAGCACTGACCCACTGGTCAGGTGACAACTCATCCTCTACCTGAACAGGGTAAGGATAGTGAACAAGGTCAACAAGATTGGTATTTGCTCTGAGGCAAACACTGTGACCAGAAGTGCTTGCAAGGATGAAATGGATCTTACTATCTCTTACAACATGTAAGGATGGCTCAACAAATACTCTTTACTTTGCAGGAATCACTGTTGACTAGGACATTATCACCATCTGGAACACTAGGAACAACAACAGACACTCTAGTGAGGGCACTAGCTGCGACAGAAACGTCTTTCTGCAGATGACTTGTGACATCAACAAGAGATGGCATTATTAGTTGCAAGTAATCGTTTTCCGACAAGGCGTCCCCTGTGGAGAAGCTACTACTTGAACTAGCAAACATTGCAGGGATAGGCTCAGCACTCAAGGTAGTAAGAGCGTCCTCGGACACTTGAGGCAACTAGACACTCTCTTGCAAGCCTGAAGTTGTAGGTGGAACACAGACAGTGACAGGATCACCAATGCCTGACACCTTGGGTACGCTACTGGAAAATGCACTGGCTTGTAAGGACTTAATTTGAACGTCGTACCCTGCGGCAGTATGGCAGATCTCGGATTCAAGCTGGTAACCCGAAAATGGTATGATCAAGTCATCAGTTTAGGCATGCCATCGGTAAGTCTCTCGTGGAAGCAAATCCCAGTAGAAGATCACAAGGGAAAGTAATCTGGTCGACAACAAGGAAGGGAAGTCCGACCTCGGACACGCAGGTGAGAACCAGCTATTCCACTAAGGGAGGACACGAGGCGGTTCTACGAGAAGGATATGTCGTAACTGCTTACCCTCAAACAAACTAAGCCTGATAATATTGACTTGCGCACCAGAGTCCATGAACACATTTTGCTAAGAGTTCTTTCTTGAATTCTATCGTGTTTCTAGCTTTCTTTATCAAAAGGCTGGCACTCAGAACTTTCTTTGGCCCCGTGGTGGCTTATTTAGCAGTCACACTCAATAAACAAGCACAAAAAACAATGGATTATTATGAAATATTTCAGATGAATGTGCTACCGGGGTAATGCTCATTCAACGAGAAACAAAGCCAAAGTGAGTCAGAACTCAAGGGATGCTTCATGAGGGTGCAGGCAGGCGGATGTGTTTGGTACAAAGGACCATTGTCAACTCAACGAAAACTCGGCTGATGTACGAAAACTGGGACAAAATTTCAACGAAAAAGTCGTCAAAAACTGAATCCTACGAAAACCAGGGCATATGAAAACCGAGGTTCCACTATATTAGTTTGTCTAGAACAAAGCCTAAGATTTTACAATAATTTTTTGCTGTTACTTAGATTAACACTTATCTAACTGAAATGCATTTTTTCCAGCTTCTCGAGCAAGCACTTGTGATTGAGGAACAACTAAGACGAGCTGCATTCCTCAACCTACAGCAGGACCCCCATCACCCAGCATGTACCCTAAATGCTCGCTTTGCTGAGGTGGAATGTTTGGCTGAGTCACACCAACACCTCAGCAAAGAGTCCCTTGCTGGCAACAAACCTGCCAATGCTGTGCTCAATAAGGTGAGATGACAAATCTTGATCTACACTCAGATGGGGGTTTTTTCCTCTCCAAGCTGATCATTTCTCATCTTCCTCTTTTTTCTTTTTCCTTCTTGCTTCCTTTGTCAGCTCCATCCCTCCTTCCCTTCACCCCTCTCTCCCTCCCTACACGTGCATTTTAGACTATTTCACACGTTCAGTATCATTTAAAATATTTCATGTTGTATTTTATGTGATTTACTTCATTTGTACTGAAATGACCACAAATGGTAAGAATTTAAAAAAAAAATACCAAGTTCAGGATTCTGGGATGTACTATCCATGTATTCTTCAGCAATGTATAACTTAAGAATTCTTGAAATTCACTCTTCCATGAGGTTACTGAAATACTACACTCGCCTATATGTAGCTGCAGCGGTTGTCTTAGTTCTCGGGCATGCCTCTTGACTTTCTGCTCGGCAGATTCATTCATTCTTTCTGACCACCCTGAGACTGAAGAAATACTTCCTGACATCACTGTGACTCGTTAGTTTCTTTTTAGCTTCTAACTGTGCTCCTGAGTACCAGTTATCTGCCTCTCAAACAGTTTGTCCATGTCTGCCCTATCAATTCTTTGGAGTATTTTGTATGTTATTGTGTCTTCCCTGGTTCTGTTCACTAGGATCATTAGATTCAGTTCCTTTAGCCTTTTTGCAAAGCTCATACCCCTTAGTTCTAAAATTAGTCTTGTTGCATACTTCTGCACTTTCTCCAGTTTCTTAACATACTGTCTCAGGTGTGGGTTCCATACTGATTCTGCATACTCCAAGATGGGCCTGACATGTGTTGTATAGAGTCCCAAAAAGTTTTTTTGAGTTTCCTGAAGGCCACTCTTAGATTTACCAAGCAAGCATTGGCTGCAGAGGTTATTCAGTTGATGTGAGCCTTTGGGGAAATGCTAGGCATTATGCTCACCCCTAGGTCTTTATCGTTGAGTGAGGTCTGCAACCTCTGTTCCCTGAGACTATATACACTGGCTGGTCTTCTGTTCCCTGATCTTCATGATCTTGCATTGGCTGGGGGTTGAATTCAAGCAACCACTTATCTGACCAGTCTTGTAGTTTGTACGGATCTATTTGCAACCTTTCTCTGTCCTTGTATGTTTTTATTCTTGTTGGTGTCACATCACCAAAAAAGGATATATCCAACTCAATCCTGTCTGGAATATTCACATAAAAAACAGTACTGGCCCTACTACCAATCCTTCCAGCAACCCCCTTGTTACACATCCCCATTCTAGTATCTCTTCCTGGACAATCATTCTTTGCCGCCTCCTAGGTACTCATTGACCCACCGGAGTATATTTCCTATTATTCGTGCCTGCACCTTAAGTTTCTGCTCCAGTCTCATGTAAGGTACTGTATCAAATACCATCTCACAGTCTGAGAAAATGCAATCTACCCAGTCCCCTGTCTCACTTCTGTTACTTTGTCAGAGAATTCCAACAGATTGATAAGCCAAAATTTACTCTCTGAACCCATGTTTGTCACTTTTTATGAAATCACTTGTCTCCAAGTGCTTTACTACTCTCCTTACAGGACAGGGTATATTGTAAATTAAAATGATGCTTTATTGATAATAATCAGTTTAAATGAATTATGAAATATTAGGCAGTCATATCATTGCTTTTTAACATTAATTCTCATATCTAATAGATGACAGCTGCTTCATATAAATAATTACATATTAAATATTTGGAAAATGTTTCAGGTATTTCTTCAAAAATCTACAGCACTTGGTCATCTAAAATGCCAAAGATCCTGCTAAAGAGGTTATCCCTTTACGAAGGGAGAGTTTTCAGAGGGGTACAAGTACTAAGGATATTGACAAATTAAATAGTGTTTCTAAGATCTTATTGCTAATCTATATACAATTAACTACTATCCAGGTGCTGAATCAACTTGAGGAGCTGTTATCAGATATGAAGTCTGATGTGACGCGACTACCAGCATCTCTAGCCCGTATTCCACCAGTGGCGCAGCGCCTGCAAATGTCAGAGCGCTCCATCTTATCTCGCCTAGCCTCTGGAGCTGGTAATTTGGACAAGACCACTCAAGGGGCAGGTGAGGGGTCAAATGCTGCTAGACTAGACACTTTCTCTCTTAATTATCAATCTTGGTGTGGTTTGTTTCTATATGGTTCATAAATTGTGATTTTCTTAATTTTGAATGGTAGACATAGGTTTTAGAGTATATGGTACTGTTTACTCAGGATGTTTACCTGCCTTTTTCTGGGTTATGCACCTTGCTTCCAATAGTGCAAGTCTGTTACGTGCAAGCTCATACCAGTCCAGGCAAATTTTTTCATATAAAGACTGTAGTCCCTTGCTAAATTAATAGAGCAGATTTTGAAAGTACATTAGTGTCTATATTTTTTAATTAACTGCAGCTCTTGCTTATTCTCTGGCTAGGAGCAAATTCATACATTTTAATTAGTAAATCATTAAAATTTGGGTGCACCGTACAAAGAATTAATGCTTGGGGCAGCCCCACCATTAAAATAACCTGGATTTGTGGAGATACTGTAATAGCTTACTCTTCTCTTCTGTTTAGTAATAGTCTCTCTTCTAGTTTATTTTAAATACATACTCTTATTTATTCTTTTTGGTAATAGTTTATGAATATCTCTTCCAGTCTTTTTTAAATACATACTATTATTCATTTGAAACACTTCATATCTATTATTTATTAAATCCTTCTAATTCTTCATTTAAAACATACTTCCACTTTATTTGAAAAAAAAACTCCCACTTTTATTTATTTAAAACACTATGCAGCCTACGTGCTTTCTAATTCGTGTCTTCACGATCTTTATTCGTTTCATAACTGTAATTTATAGCGTCTCTGATTTTTAGATTTTTATTGCATGTTTTTCAAGATCTCCAAGTCGTCTTAATCGATTCTGGCATGTTTGCCTACAAACTTCTTGATCTTTTAAAGCTGTGATTGTTTCTTTTACTGTATCTTCTTTTCTTCATTAAGCTCATCAAAGGTGTCTTCTCAGTTATGCAGAGTAGGTTGTTAGTTTGTCTACAATTTGTGATCATTTGCAAAATATTAATTTATGAATCTTTATTTTTCTCTATTAACATATTTACTTAGCCTTCAGTTTTTACCATCACCTGCCCCTTTATGTATGTATGTATAATAGTTGTGCAATAGATTAAGTAGAATTTTGGTTAACCCTTTCAAAACTATTTGCCGAATTTTGCAAGTATATGTCAAAGAAGAAAAAATTGCAATGTGGAACTCTACTGCTTGGTGCCTGTTAATGCCCTTCTTACTTTTTTCTACTTCCCATTGCCATGCATGGCTTTGAAATTGCCCCAAAGTGGTGGAAGAGCGATCTTGTTTTTGTTTTTAGTAATAAAATTAAAATTTTAAAGTTTGTTAATTTTATGTATAAATTTAGATTTTAGTATTTTAATGTCAATATTTAATTAGAAAATATATTATTGTTTTAATTTTGATGTAAGTACAGTAAATGCAAATAGTTGCTCAAGTTGCTTTTTTTAGTTTATATTGACCAAAATTTTGTTAGTAAATTTATTACGTAGTATTGTAATTGTCACAATATCCATTTAAAATATTTTAGTGTACATATGTTGTGTATATTTACAGTATTACTTTAATTTTGCTGATGGGAAAGGGGAATCCAACTCATGACTCTAGGTATGTAAACATAGAGTAAGACATTTAAGGTTTGGGTTATGTGCCTAAAAATCTGCCCTTTCTGTAAAGTAGGTTTGCAGAGTGAACATATGTTCCAGACATCTCCCAGCTTGTCAGTCACGTGCATATTTATTAGGCCATTGTATGGGTGGCTGGTTGACTGTGGTGCTGTTGAAAGAATGAACTTGAGAGGGATGCTACAAAAATGCAAGATCACCAAATAGAACGAAAGGAATGTGGGAAAGATCTGGGTGTAATAATGTCTGCTTATCTTTCAAAGAACACACTAAGACAAATATCACAGAAGCTGGGAAAGTGATGGGGTGGATAAGGAGAGCTTTTAAAATAAGGGAAATTTCTCATATTGTTGGATATTGTCTAATTTTGATGATACCAATATTGGTGGATATTAGCTAATTTTGATGCTATCAGTATCATCCTGAAATTGAGTATTGGAGTCTATATCTGCAAAATTTCTGGTATTGTCCCATACCTATATTGCATCACTGTGTAATTAGGATTCAGGGATGCTGGGCCCCAGACCAGGATGCAAGAGTAGGATAACTCAAAACAGGTCACAGGTAAATCACACGTAAAAGCAGCAACTTCATCGCACCATACACAGGTAACGTCATTTTTTTTACTAATTTTTATCAAATTATATTCAGTTTTGCATGCTCTGCAATCCTGTTAAAAGAAATTGAAAAAAAAAAATCCATGGCAGGGCTGTTGAAGCTACATCCCACTGAGCAGTAACAATATGTCTGTGGAAGCAGATTTTGATTTGGTATATAGGTACATAATACAGGGTTTTGAAAGAGAAATCCAACCCATGGAGAATACGTATATTATTGTAACTTTCTTTGTTTCAGTGATCATTAGCAAAAGAAAGGTAGTATTCACATTACAGATTTATTTTTATTAATGTGTATTCAAATTAATACAGAGGGAGGTGAAAGTGTATAAACTAAGGGAGGAGGAAGTTCGGGCGAGATATGAGCGACTATTGGCAGAAAGGTGGGCTAGTGCAAAGATGAGTAGTGGGAGGGTTGAAGAGGGTTGGAATAGTTTTAAAAATGCAGTATTAGAATGTGGGGCAGAAGTTTGTGGTTATAGGAGGGTGGGGGCAGGAGGAAAGAGGAGTGATTGGTGGAATGATGAAGTAAAGGGTGTGATAAAAGAGAAAAAGGTAGCTTATGAGAGGTTTTTACAAAGCAGAAGTGTTATAAGAAGAGCAGAGTATATGGAGAAGTAAAAGAAAGGTGAAGAGAGTGGTGAGAGAGTGCAAAAGGAGAGCAGATGATAGAGTGGGAGAGGCACTGTCAAGAAATTTTAATGAAAATAAGAAAAAATTTTGGAGTGAGTTAAACAAGTTAAGAAAGCCTAGGGAAAGTATAGATTTGTCAGTTAAAAACAGAGTAGGGGAGTTAGTAGATGGGGAGAGGGAGGTATTAGGTAGATGGCGAGAATATTTTGAGGAACTTTTAAATGTTGAGGAAGAAAGGGAGGCGGTAATTTCATGCACTGGCCAGGGAGGTATACCATCTTTTAGGAGTGAAGAAGAGCAGAATGTAAGTGTGGTGGAGGTACGTGAGGCATTACGTAGAATGAAAGGGGGTAAAGCAGCTGGAACTGATGGGATCATGACAGAAATGTTAAAAGCAGGGGGGGATATAGTGTTGGAGTGGTTGGTACTTTTGTTTAATAAATGTATGAAAGAGGGGAAGGTACCTAGGGATTGGCGGAGAGCATGTATAGTCCCTTTATATAAAGGGAAAGGGGGCAAAAGAGATTGTAAAAATTATAGAGGAATAAGTTTACTGAGTATACCAGGAAAAGTATACGGTAGGGTTATAATTAAAGAATTAGAGGTAAGACAGAATGTAGGATTGCCGATGAGCAGGGAGGCTTCAGAGTGGGTAGGGGATGTGTAGATCAAGTGTTTACATTGAAGCATATATGTGAACAGTATTTAGATAAAGGTAGGGAAGTTTTTATTGCATTATGGATTTAGAAAAGGCATATGATAGAGTGGATAGAGGAGCAATGTGGCAGATGTTGCAAGTATATGGAATAGGTGGTAAGTTACTAAATGCTGTTAAGAGTTTTTATGAGGATAGTGAGGCTCAGGTTAGGGTGTGTAGAAGAGAGGGAGACTACTTCCCGGTAAAAGTAGGTCTTAGACAGGGATGTGTAATGTCACCATGGTTGTTTAATATATTTATAGATGGGGTTGTAAAGGAAGTAAATGCTAGGGTGTTCCAGAGAGGGGTGGGATTAAATTTTGGGGAATCAAATTCAAAATGGGAATTGACACAGTTACTTTTTGCTGATGATACTGTGCTTATGGGAGATTCTAAAGAAAAACTGCAAAGGTTAGTGGATGAGTTTGAGAATGTGTGTAAAGGTAGAAAGTTGAAAGTGAACATAGAAAAGAGTAAGGTGATGAGGGTATCAAATGATTTAGATAAAGAAAAATTGGATATCAAATTGGGGAGGAGGAGTATGGAAGAAGTGAATGTTTTCAGATACTTGGGAGTTGACGTGTCGGCAGATGGATTTATGAAGGATGAGGTTAATCATAGAATTGATGAGGGAAAAATGGTGAGTGGTGCGTTGAGGTATATGTGGAGTCAAAAAACGTTATCTATGGAGGCAAAGAAGGGAATGTATGAAAGTATAGTAGTACCAACACTCTTATATGGATGTGAAGCTTGGGTGGTAAATGCAGCAGCGAGGAGACGGTTGGAGGCAGTGGAGATGTCCTGTCTAAGGGCAATGTGTGGTGTAAATATTATGCAGAAAATTCGGAGTGTGGAAATTAGGAGAAGGTGTGGAGTTAATAAAAGCATTAGTCAGAGGGCTGAAGAGGGGTTGTTGAGGTGGTTTGGTCATTTAGAGAGAATGGATCAAAGTAGAATGACATGGAAAGCATATAAATCTATAGGGGAAGGAAGGCGGGGTAGGGGTCATCCTCGAAAGGGTTGGAAAGAGGGGGTAAAGGAGGTTTTGTGGGCAAGGGGCTTGGACTTCCAGCAAGCGTGCATGAGCGTGTTAGATAGGAGTGAATGGAGACGAATGATACTTGGGACCTGACGATCTGTTGGAGTGTGAGCAGGGTAATATTTAGTGAAGGGATTCAGGGAAACTGGTTATTTTCATATAGTCAGACTTGAGCCCTGGAAATGGGAAGTACAATGCCTGCACTTTAAAGGAGGGGTTTGGGATATTGGCAGTTTGGAGGGATATGTTGTGTATCTTTATATGTATATGCTTCTAAACTGTTGTATTCTGAGCACCTCTGCAAAAACAGTGATAATGTGTAAGTGTGGTGAAAGTGTTGAATGATGATGAAAGTATTTTCTTTTTGGGGATTTTCTTTCTTTTTTGGGTCACCCTGCCTCGGTGGGAGACGACCGACTTGTTGAAAAAAAAAAAAAAAAAAAGTATTCAAATCATTCTCGTACACTCGAAGAGCTCCGGGTCATTGTTCAGCATAAAGTTGGCAGCATATCAAAAGAAACTAATACAAGTGTTCAGTAGCATGATTCGTTGTTTATGCTTAGTAAATGGCTTAATAACCAACACATTCAGCAATTTTTGGAATTCATTAGTAAATATGTATTATCCATGGGTTGCATCTCTATTTGAACACCCTGTATAATTGTAGATAGTATAGATAGCATATAAGGCAGGACAGGAAATAGAAAGTATGTAGTGATTATGCTGCTGCCAGAGGAATAATGTATGCTTTGGAAGCATTAGTTCGATGTAGTTGATGAAGAGATCACAGATGAAGCGCTAGTAGTTGAAAAATCTCTTCACTTAGGTTTACCATATACAGTGGAACTCCGGTTTTCGTACTTAATCCGTTCCAGAAGGTCGGTCTAAAACCGAAACGTACAAAAAGTAAATTAATATTGTCCATGAGAATAATGTAAATACAATTAATCCGTTCCAGACACCCAAAAATATTAACAAAAAAATACATTATTTAAAGAATAACTATAGTTTTACATACAAAAAACAATGAGAAATAGATATAAATGACTAATTTTAATGATAAATGAACATTACATACCTTTATTGAAAACTCTTGTTGGTGTATTGAAGAAGGCGAGGAGGGGAGAGGGAGATGAGGTTATTGTTTGGAAGAGGATTCCCCCTCCATAAGCACTTCAGGTTACTTCTGGGGTTACTTACCTTCTTTGGTTTTTACTGGCACTGGACCCCTGTCACACTAAAAATCTGTCCAGAGAGCTCTGTTTCTAGCATCTCTTCAAGATTTGCCTAAAATGGGACAAGGTATTGTCACTGAACATGTTGCAGATATGGCTTGTATCAACTTTGTCAGGGTGATATTTTTCAATAAAAGTTTGCAACTCATTCCACTTTGCACACATGTCCTTAATCACTGAAGAAGGCACCTTCTCCTCTCTCTCTTTCTTTGAAGCAATTTCCTCAGCTGTTGTCTGTTGCTGTTCCAGATAAAGAACTTGCAGCTCTTCAGTGGTTAGCTCTTTCCTGTGGTCCTCCACCAACTCTTCCACATCCTGGCCCCCCACATCCAACCCCATGGACTTCCCCAAAGACACAGTACATTCCACAACAGGCGTAGGGTCGACAGGGTCAGCCTCAAACCCCTTCAAAATCTTTCTTGAATTCCATTGCGTTTCTCACCTTCTTTACCATAGGGCTGGCACTAGGAACTTTCTTTGGGCCCTTGGTGGCTTATTTTGCAGTCGCAATCAGTAAACAAGCACAAAAATTGCGAAATGTTTTGGATGAATGCTCACTCAACCTGTGACAAAGCCAGACTGATGGCGTTCCCGGCGGGCGGATGCACGTGATATGTACGATTTGCAGATTGAGGTTCGAAATCCGGATCAAAATTTCACCCAAAAAAGTGTTCTAAATCTGAATTGTACAATATGCGGACTGTACAAAAACCGGAGTTCCACTGTACACTATAAATTTGTAAGGTACAAAAATATGGGGTAAGAGGCTACTTTGTGTTCCATCCATTTCTTATGGGAAAGGAGCTAAATGTACTTGATACACTTAATATGTGACAAATTATAAGACTACATCTGTGTTCCACAAAAAAAATTGAAAACTGGGTATTGATGGCACTGATATATGGAAAAAATGCCCATTTTTACAAAATGTATTTTTATTTCTTAACAGGTCAAGAGACAACCCCATTCCCTGTGGGTTATTCACCTGCAGGTCAACTCCAGACTCTGGGTAACACCAATTTCGCCAACTTCCGACCCCAGTACTCTCTTCCCGGCGCTGCAACTGCTCCAGGTGCTGTGCAGGCTGCCTTCCCAGGTATCCCTCCCATGGCTGCCAACCCTGCCTCCAAGTAGAACCATGCTGATGCTGCTGATGCTACTCCCGCTGCTACTGCTGCTCTGCGTGGCCCAGTGTGACACTAACCCAGCTCGGTGAGTGTGGCTGTCACTGGTGGTCAGGAGTAGCCACTGCTACAGTAGGATGCCAAACCTACCCATGGTGGAGGCTCGCTGATTGGATTATTCTCTTTGCCATCTCTCAACATTTCCTAACTTTAGATATTGTCTTTATGTAATCAACACCAGTAATTTGGATATTAATAACAGTATAAATCATAGCACAAATTCATTCTTATATCTCAGTCTGGAAATGTGGAGGTACGTCATTAATCCTCGGTTTAAAGGATTCCCAAGAATTTCTGAAGTTAGTTTCAATGCTCCTGACTGCCATCGCAACTATGCGGCCTATAACCTCTGACCAAGGGAATGTGATATTACATAGCTGTGTGTCTTGCATGATTTTTCTGTTAGTTGCTTGGTTACTTAAGCCTGCCAGAATCCCCCTTACTTATACTTCAGCATGATTTTAATAGTGTATAGGGTATGAATTTTTTAGATGTAGGTAATGCCCATTGTCCTCCCATGCACTTTCTTATAACAGCTCATTAAAATTGTATGAATTTCTTTTATGGATTTAGTGATAAGGAATTTTGTAAAATTGTTAATCTGTAGTTTACTGAAATATTGGAATAGAAAAAAAAAAAATAGGTATTAGTGTTGAAAATTTATGAAATGTGTAAAGAAAATCTAGGATATTGCATGGCACTTAATTAGAACCAAAAGAAAATTATTTGTATACCGTCCATGTCTTATACACCCTCCTCCCTCTTTTTTAACACACCAGCAGTCGCCTACTGAAGCAAGGTGACCAGAAAGAGAAGAAATGAAACTCTTTTTACCTTTTTACATTAGTAATTTATACAGGAGAAGGGGTTAAAATGAATGTTTTAAATCTTTAGGTTTTAATCTGTGAACTCCGACAGAGGAGGTTTGTAGTAGTAATTCCAACAAGATTGTTCTAAAGCAAAGGGTGTCCAATATTTGCTCAGGAATTCTTGAATTCTTGTAGTTAAAACACTTGGCTACAGATAGAAATTAATATTCTGTCTTTTGTTTCTTCAAGTATGTTATCTCATTAAGGAATATTTAATATGCAGTTATGAAGGGTTTAGCTCAAAGCTTGTTACATATTCAGCTCTTTAAATAATAATAATAATAATAATAATACTAATGGAATTTAGAAGTTACCTTCACTAAGAAATAAGGAAACTTAGCTGCCTCAGCATGCATATGTAATAGCAAGAGGAAACAAATGAGAGGTAACTGCAAAGAGCAAGCAGCTGAATAGCAAAATCTGTGAAAAATAAACATTGGAATAGGAAACTATGTACTGCAGACAGTCACCATGAATATTTATACTGTAAGTTCTTGAAACCAGTTTAAGAAATTGTTTGATAGTTTATGCATTATATAAAATTAATGATGCACGACATGTCACCATATACTGCACTTTTTACAAAAGGGCCAAAAGTCTGTATTTGAGTGTTTACATGACTTGTTATATTTTGTGTACATTTGTTGTCTGAAGGACATGCAAGGCTTATGTTTGTCAAAGTTAAGAGCTAAGATAATGAATTGTCCAATCACTGTACATCAAACATTTTTCCATAAAAAAATTTAGCAAGTTATTATCCAGTAAACTTTGAGTTATCATCCTTGGGTCATTTGTTTAAAAAAAAAAAAAAAAAACACCTTTTAATATTTTCACTACTTTCATCATTTCTTCGTACTACATTGACCAGTCTTCATGAATGAACACCATTAACTAGGGTATATTTTCTTTATTGTTCTAAGAACATTGTTAATATGTCTTATTTCTTGTTTTAATTGTCAGTTCTGCTGCAAGCTCCTTTTAAGTGTTTTTTGTTTAATGGGGTTATAATTTACACATTCATATTTGAAACTGGTTTCTGTTCATTTAATCCTTCCTTCCCTAACCATCTATAGTCTCAGCAGATTTTCTAATTTCTATTTTGCTGCAATGGATAAAATTGCTTTCCAAAAATAACTTTTAAATGTATTTGCTGACTACACAGTTGCCTAACTCTGGAAAGCTTGCTCTCATTTTATCATTTACAAAATAAATGTTATTATGATGACTATCCCTCCTCTTCATTAAATCAGGGTTTATTAATGTAGGTCACAAAGTTAGTCTCCATGCTATACTCAGTTCTCCATACTCTTATCATTACTAATACTGTATTTAAATGTCCAGCCCTCGCTGCATCTTTCTTCATGCATGTTCAGGCGTATAACACTACTGATAGCATAGTACAGGTTGGCCATTGCTAACCCAGAAATTGGTAATCCGGCACTAATTTTGGCAAGCATAATTTCAAATTTCCGTAGTCGCCACACCAATCTGCCACTACTGTTTGGTGGCGCTACTTGCTGCATAAGTGATTCCAATTTGTTTTTTTTTTTTTTTTTGCATTTGTTATGGCCTGTTCACTTTTAGCCCTAGCAGTGGTTCCATCGAATAAAAGAAATGCTTCTCATTGTGTAAAACACATACATCGTACATTGTCCATAAAAGATAAGGTGACTTTGAAGCCACTGTTGGTTGCCATGAGCTCAGGCTCATTTAGATAAGCTGTGACTGGTAAATTTGAGCCTGTGTGTGAGAGAATAGGTCTGTGTGGTAAGTGTGCACTATATAAAAAATCCTGCAGCATGCAGTGCATAATGAGAATAAACTGCGACAGTGTTTATTTTGTAAAACGGCGATTGTGGTGCATTTTCATATGGTTTTTATGGTTGTAATCTCATTTTTTATCTCATTTGATACAGTGGAAGATATATTACAAAAACATAGATATATGATTTTGATTGGTTTTCCGACGGGAAGTACCTTGAAATTGAGCTCAAACCATCTGAAATATTCGATTTTTTCAATGTTCATGAGTAAACAAATGACTTCACTGTCCAATATGTGTTCATCTGGCCGGTCTAATACACTGTCACAAATAGGTTGGCATTATTTATACAGTTATTACAATAATGCAGTAGGCTGCGTACCAGTAAATCTTCTATTTTTTGTGTGAATAAAAATTTAAAATGGAAAGCAAGCATAATATAAGAGGGGCCTGAAGATGTGACTAATGAACAGAGAAAATGTTATTTTAGTGCCAGGAATGTCTGCATTGTTTATTCTGGACCCTATTTTGAAATTGGCATTTCTTGAAAATTGTGTGAAATTGGCCAAATTACCAATTTCTGACCGCTTTATTGGGTAGTTGAAATAGGTAAATGGGCGGTTTCTTTTACTCAATTGACAGAGTGGAAGGAATACTCGCAAAATAGTTAAGAGTTGGCAGACTGGAACAATGGAATAGCCAAAAATAGGGTGCAGAGTGGGCAAAATCACTGATGCATAATTATCGCTGTTGGGTTAAGTTTATTCTAACCTACCACTCTGCAGGTTCCAGTGATGCAGGATTTGTGATGGTCAACCTGTACCATACAGATTGTGTAAAAAAAAATAAAAAAGGTAACTTTAAATATTATAGATTGCACAATAGTTACTATGAAACTAATATTGTAATAATTGTAATGTAGAGGACAGAATGCTGTTGTTGCTCTTGGGGAAAAGATGTGAAGGAGGTATGGTGACGAATTCTGAAGTTGAACTACTCTTAAATAGTGAGAAAGAAGAAAATCTGTTTCATCTTTGTTATGACAAAATGCAATGCTGCATTACTGGGTTTGGTGCAGAAAAAAATCAGACTTCCATTCAGAATCAGCAGTGGTTGTTACTTCGCATATTTACTTTTTGACTGCATTGATTGCTTTACTGCCTTCCTGTAAAGGAGGACCTGCAAAGGATTTACAAATAGTTTGGTAAATTTGCTAAACAGTCCATAGGACTATGCAGTGAATAATCAAATCCAGCAAATGCCCATGGTGAAGATAACTTTTTTTTTTTTTTTCTCTCCCCAACACATTGGCTGTCTCCCACTGAAGCAGGGTGACCCAAAAAAAGAAAACTTTCACCATCATTCACACATAATCACTGTCTTTGCAGAGGGGTCCAGATATGACAGTTTAGATGTCACTCCAAACAGCCAGTATCCCAAAACCATTCCTTTAAAGTGCAGGCATTGTACTTCCCACCTCCAGGACTCAAGTCTGGCTAACCAGTTTCTGCATTTATTTACGGATAATAAAGTCTGCTAATATACTGTAAATTTTAGCTTTAATTACAGTGAGCTTTACTACAAATATTAAATTTGCTTTGTATTTATTAATTGAGAGATTATTGAATGTTGGTCCCTTCCAGGAAAGTTCCTTGATGCAAGTGAAGGGTCTTGATCAAAATTAAAGTTACCCTTCCCTTTCCTTGGATTGAATCTGATTACTTCCTATTCATGAGTAATTTCATTGAAGGCAAATATAGATAATTAGAATATGAATGACTAACATTCTAGCAGTACAATGTACTGTACAGCATTTCCCATTTAATGTCTCCTTAGCATACACAAGCACTATGTAGCTGACCTTCAGTCATCACTTGGTGGACCACTCTCTTCCATAGATCTTAATTTCCATAGACTTTTTGAGGTCTATACTTTTCAGTCTATCTTCTGGCACTGTCTTAGAGGTTGATGGAATTGCAAATGATAAACTCTATACATCTATAGTGTCAAGCATTTGAGCTTGACAGAAAATCTCAATAGCTAAGACAAAACCTGCTATTGGTATTTGACTTCAAATTTTATACTTGCTGAAAAAGAGCTCCAGTACCAGAATTGTAACTACCATATATAATCCTTAAATTAAAAAAAATATTACAGAGAAGTAAATTAATACAGCCTCTCCTTACTTAACGATGGAGTCCTGTTCCTAAGACCACGTCTGTAAACGATTCGTCGCTAAGTGAGGAGCATACTATAATGGTAGTGGGTTTATGTCGACCAACTTTGATATTGTTTGCACAATTTATAAAATTTTTAGTATATTTTTAAATGTTTATACAGTAGTGTACTGTATATTGTAATAAACAAAATAGAGGAAATCTGCTTTAATATACATTATTTAGGTATGCATACTGGTCAGGGAGCCTGTGTCATCGGTAAATGAGTACATCGCTAAGTGAGGAGAGACTGTAATGAATATTCAAAAGTGCTAGCTTCCAGTATTGGAATTCTCACATATTAGAGAAAAGTTTATCAGTAATGATGGATAACTCGTGCTGAAAGGTTAGACACCCTTGAATACTGTACAGTAGTTCTTCCTGCAAAAGATCTTTCCATCTTTTATTTGGTCCCATAGCCTTTTATTATGTGACTCTTCAGCAGATTTCCAGGTTCCTGTAATATCACTTTACATATTATAATTATAACTAAGTGCTAAACCCACAAGGGTCATACAGGTCACTTTACATAAATTCAGTGTTTAACTACTTTTTTTAAACAAGTTAATTAGTTACTTATATACCTTTTATGAAGTTCCTCCCATTTTTTTTTTTAACCTCATACAGTTCTTTGAAGTGACCTTTATACTGTACTTAGGTTCACTTTCTTCCTCTCTATAATATGCTAATAAAAGGCTCTTTATCAAAGATGAAATCTGATAGTCTCATTCCCTAGGCTTTTTATGACCTGCAGGTTTAGTGCTTCCCACTGAATACAATAAGCCTTGTCCACATTGCCCTTGCAATTATTATTGATTTTTTTGTTTAGCCTGTATTTCCATATTCCTCCTCATTTTTTCCCATTACCATTAATTAGATTCACTTATGATTCTTAAAATACTCTAAAGAAAATGTTCTGTAAGCCCTTTGTCTTTACTGGTATTGACCTCAAGATGTGTTGAATTACTAGGCAGTATATATCAAAAGATTTTTATTACCTGTATTTTAAGACTTTTATTTTAAAGTTTATTTAAAGCACTTTTAATCACATAACTTCCATAATATAACTGTTATGCATTACCTCTCGTAATGGTAGCAACCGGTAAATTTTTTCAGAAGTTTATTTAAAGCACTGTTTTATTTGAATGACATGCAAAATTTGGACTCCATTTGAATAACATGCAAAATTCATCAGAAAATGTTTTGAGTTTTCATATTCTATGTTATTTAATGACTTGGGAGGGGGGAATGGCTTTAAGAATTTTGGCATAGTGGTTTATACCATCACATATTAATACTTTGGGATTTATGAGTTGTTGTTATAATCAAAACCAAGTGCTAAACCCACAGGGGTCATACAGCACTGCTGGGATTTGTAAATGATTAGCAATGCTTAGTACAGTTACCAAACAATTCTTGTGGAATAAGTTTTTATCTTTAAAGTTTTTAGGATTCAAATAGAGGAAATATTTAATTACAAAAATAATTTTAGGGAGCGTGTAAATTTGTAGTGATTTTATGTACACCCAAATTATTTTACCTTGTTGCTTCGACAAAAAAATATTGCTTTCCATCTATAGCCAACTAGTAAAATGCTTTGCTTGATATTCCACAAGCTGGTTTCCTTGTGTGCATTTTCTGCATCTTTTACTTCACTTGCTATTACCTGGGAGGGGTCTTATCGTGTTGTGCACTAACTGCTTATTATCCTAGCTGCTTTTTGCTGTACATCACCTGGGAGGGATTTGATTTGTTGAAGTTGCAAATGAATATTTTGTTGATATATTGTTATAATCTTTCTTTATGGATGAAGCATTAAAGGCAAATAAAACTCATTTTTATGTCATTTACCATGTCTTGATACAAGTAGTCGTCTTGAATTGTGTCTAATACATTGGTCCTTCACTTTCTTTTCATACATAATTGGCTCCTGCTCCATTCTGAAAGGCTGGCAAAGGTAAGTAAAGTGGCTTCTGTAACAGTGTCGTTCCTCTGCAGGTGTGCCAAGTGCTCAGGTCAGCCTCGCGAGCTTGAGTGCCAGTTTACACATGCTTGCTGCCTCCAACCCACTTTTGGACTCCACCCTACAGCAGCAGCCACCTACCTCTCATGCAGGCACCATCTCTGCTGCAACACGAGCCTCACTCTTATTGCATCAGCAACAGCAGCAGCAGCATCTTCAGCAGCAGTCATCCGACACCAAAAATCTTATCTATTTGGATTGAAGCTAGAAGTTGACATCATTTACTTTGATGTCAGCATATTTTATTTTATTCCCTAACAAGGACCAGTCTTAGGCATTCCGTGCAGTTTATAGAGTTTTATTTGAGTGTAATCTCATCAGTGTTAAAAGATTTGTGCTAGATTTCATAAGTGATCTCAAATAGATCTTAGGAAATTAATTTATATTGTACAAAATTGTGTACAATCTTACCTTAAAGGTCTGTAAGATTTTTATGTATTGCCACAGTGGTAATAAAAATACCATATGGCTAAATGTATTATCTCTAACCTTATTATTTTAATTAGTATTATATAGAAAACTTATTTTTTAAGAAAATGGAGAATTATCCCATTTCAAAATGATCATTACTTATTCATGAAAAGTGATAAGCTGCTGGTTCAGTTAGTGTAGAAGTTTGAAGTACCCAACTGATATCTTGGATTTTCTGGGAAATTTTCTGAATTTATCACACTGATGGAAAAACCAAACACAATACTGTATATTTTTATGTAATATGAATTAATCAAATAAGTGTGCCTTACATGGAAACTGCACTATGGCTGCATTTGCTAATATGCAATGCAGACAACACTGTATGACCCTTGTGGGTTCAGTGCTTAGTTTTTATTTTGTATGTATAGAATATTCTTTCTTTTAACCCTTGAACGGTCCAAACGAATATATATGTTCTCTCGTGTAGTGCCCCAAACGTATATGTACGTTTCATTTGTCATTCAACATTGGCAAGATAGGCCTGAGTCACCTAGACATGAGAGAATGGGTGTGCACACTCAGTGTGCACCATATAAAAAAATTGGGGATGCCTGAGTACCACATGCTTTCTCTTCCTATAAAAAAAAAAAAAAAAAAAAAAAAAAAAGATTTTTTTTCTCAAAATATTCAGGGCGCTGCGGAAGTGAACGTATATATACGTTTGGACCATTTAAGGGTTAATATGAATGAGAAATGTCCTTTGGTCTGCCATTACTTAGAGTATTTTGCCACTACTACTGGAGCAAAGTCATTGTTGAATTTTGATACAGGTTAGGTTGGGTTACAGTTACTGCCTCTGAAGGAAAAGGGGTACAGGAGTACTGTTTCCAAATCTTCTCTGTTAGAAGCCTGGTAGCTCAGGCAGTAGAGCATTGGACCTGCTAATTTTTGAACCACAGTTCAGACCTCCCACCCATCTTTGTTTATTCATGGAGACTTGTGATATAGAGGAGGAGGTAGAGAAGTATCAGATATGAAATAGCAGCAGTCTTCACTACAGAGTAGGAGGGATGTTGTAAGGGCATCTTACAAGTCACGTTTGTGAGTTAGAAGCCAGAATCACAGGTGGATTGTGCTGAGGAATAATTAAAAATACTAATAACAAAAAAAGGCACAATACTGTGACTGGAACGATACACAAATAACCCACACATAAGAGAGAAGCTTACGACCACATTTCGGCCCGACTTGGACCATTTACAAAGTCACACTGTGTGACTTTGTAAATGGTCCAAGTCGGACCGAAACATCGTCGTAAGCTTCTCTCTTTTATGTGCGGGTTATCTGTGTATTAAAAATACTGTAATTATTCCTCTGTGATTCTGGCTTCTAACTCACAAAGGTGACTTGCAAGATGCCCTTACAACACCCATCAGCATCCCTCCTACTCTGCAGTGAATTATTATTATTATTATAATCAAGGGGGAAGCGCTAAACCCGGAGGATTATACAGCGCCTGGGGGGGGGGATGTGGAAGGCATTCAGGCTTAATTCGGGGAACTGGAGCACAGATCCAATTCCCTAAATCAAGAGCCCCTCACCAACATCAAGGAACCTTCCTTGAGGGGCTCTGCAGTGAAGACTGCTGCTATTTCATATCTGATACTTCTCTACCTCCTCCTCTATATCACAAGTCTCCATTAATAAACAAAGATGGGTGGGAGGTCTGAACTGTGGTTCATAAATTAGCAGGTCCAATGCTCTACTGCCTGAGCTACCAGGCTTCTAACAGAGAAGATTTGGAAACTACTCCTGTACCCATTTTCCTTCAGAGGCAGTAACTGTAACCCAACCTAACCTGTATCAAAATTCAACAATGACTTTGCTCCAGTAGTAGTAGTAGTAGTGGGAAAATACTCTGTCATGGCAGACCAAAAAGAACATTTCTCATCCATGTTAAAAGAAAGAACATTCTACACTACAAAATAATAACGAAGCACTAAATCCACAAGGGTCATAAAGTATTTTTATGACCCTTGTGGATTTAGTGCTTTGTTTTGATTATAATAATTAAAAGAATAATTGCCTTCAAGCCTTAATAGAGGGGTATACACAAATGACCAGCAGGAGAATAAGTGGCAGTCCAAGGCCAAAAAGTCCCACACATGCTTGCTTGGCCCAAGGGCAAAATGTACTGTCCAATAGACAGATAAGAGCAATGAAAGACTATGACTAATGCAGCAAATTGCCAATGTGAACCTTGTGATGAATGGTTTGAAAAACCGACAAGTTGAAGATTGAGACACTTATGCAGCATATGGAAATCTTTATTCAGGAATAAAGATTTCCATATGCTGCATAAGTGTCTCAATCTTCAATGTTGAACCTTAATTTGACCTCCATTCCCTCACAAACTTATCCACTTGAGGGCAACAGTGCCACAAGTAGGCTTAACTATCAGGCAAGGAGAAACAGAGTATACAGGTCACTGTACACAGCAGATGCACATGGCAGTATTGTGCTTAGTTTGGTCTGTGTCATACCATTCCAAGGGAAGCGAAGTCTTCTCAGCACGACCACAACAGCCTGTAATTCCACTCCTTCCCCACTAGGTGTGTAAAAGAACTGTTATTGGGAGAAGGATAAACATTATGACTTGAGTGACATTTGTGAATTTTGTACCTTTCATTACTCGTTTTTTAAGCTAATAAGAATGGAACATTTGTAAGTCGTTTTCTGAAGATACTTTATTTTCGTGTAAACCATATAAATAGAACATTGTCTGCACATTTTTTTTTTTCAATATGCCAGCTGTCTCTTACCGAGGCAGGGTGGCTCGGAAAAGAAACTTTCACCATCATTCACGCAATCACTGTCTTTGCAGAGGCACACAGATATGACAGTTCAGATATCACAGCAAATATCCCAAACGCCTTTAAAGTGCAGGCATTGTATTTCCCATTTCCAGGACTCAAATCTAGCTAACTGGTTCCCTTGCCTTAACGATGGTGAAGGGCTTTTAATCAAAGAACTAGAACTGCATTTTCCTTGGATCAAACCTGATTACAGTCCATTCTCCAAGCTCTGTATATAATAATCTAGTCATCAAATCTGATCATAATTTTTTATAATTAGTTCTGTACTTTAGTGTCAATGATTGAAATATAAATTTACGGTACTGTACCAATACAATACACTGCTCACCTTTCACACGTTACATTCCCGAAATTGGAGTTATACACGAAAACACGCTATGTGGAGTGAGCAGTTCTTAGGAAAACTAAGTTACATTCTGGACACCTTGAAAAAAGCCAAACTAGTATTTTTTAAAATTCTTAATTTACCTAACATGAAATCATTATTTTACAGTGGTCTTGAGGGCACACAAATGTTATGAGCACATTTAAAATTGTGTACAGTACATAGTTAACTTAACCCAATAAAGTTTGTTAATGGTGTACTGTACTCTAAATTGTGGATGTTGATGCAGAATGGTTCTGATGTAAGAGGAGAGGGTTACTGGGGCTGACGAAGATGGAATGGGATCTTGGGACTAGGTGGATGACTGGGATTTATGGGCAGAAGATGACAGAGTTGTTACTGGAGCCCCTCAGGTGTTCTGCTGTCTCTTGTGCATTGCCCTACAGTACTTTCTACAGCTGACAGTAAGGCATCATCAGCTGTAGGTCATAGTCATGGGTTACTCATTACACAAGCCTGACCCAGGCTAGGCTCTGGGAATAGAAAAACTCTTGAAACTCTTCAAGGGTATATCAAAGGTAACCTCCTATTCTCTCAAACTGAACAAATACTTGATTGTCTTACACCAAAGGCATGCACTGCCTCCATCACACATTCACCACCTATGAGCATCCCTTATCACTTTCAATTTCTTCATTAGAGGCATAATTTCATGTTTAAGGGGTTAAACTTCTTGACACTGTTTTCAACACTAGATCTCCTTATTGTTGCCATTATTACTATCCAGACTCAGGATGGGACAATGAAAAGATCAGAACTGAAATAACACAGTAGTGAGAAATAGTATGGTACAAAACAACTGGCACTGTGGGTGGGGGTGGGTGCTAGCACCAGCAATGCTAGGTCTAGCATAAAACAATGGAAGCCCGAGGCAAGTGGGAGAGGAAATATTCTTCCTGCGCCAGTGCAATAGTTAGACATTTAGTGAAATATGGAAACAGGATCAAAATGTAAATCGGGTACCATAGTACCTGAATGCACAAAGGGTGGCAGTATACAGTGGACCCCCACATAACGATTACCTCCGAATGTGACCAATTATGTAAGTGTATTTATGTAAGTGCGTTTGTACGTGTATGTTTGGGGGTCTGAAATGGACTAATCTACTTCACAATATTTCTTATGGGAACAAATTCAGTCAGTACTGGCACCTGAACATACTTCTGGAGTGAAGAAATATCGTTAACCGGGGGTCCACTGTACTATACTTTGACCAGTACTGCCCGAGTCAGATACCATGTTTAAAATCTATGCATTGACTAGTTTGCATATTATACATGTAAAATTATAAGAAGGTTAAACCCAAAATCAACAGACTAATGGGGATGAAGTTGGTGGCTGGTAAGGATGATTGTGGCTGCCAGAGGACAAAATGTTTTGCCATGATTATAACCATTGACAATCCTGTCATCATTGAACTTTGTTCATTGTTTTCAAATCAACTCTGGATTTTGCCTCGTGTTTTTTTTACATAGAGGGTTTACTTTTATAATGAAAAATTTCACATATTACATAAGTGTAGTATACAGGGTGGGAACATGGAAAGGCTGCAAACAGATCTGAATAAACTGCAAGGTTGGTCAGATAAGTGGTTGCTTGAATTCAGCCTCTGCAAATACAAGATTATGAAGATTGGGGAAAGGACCAGAAGACTGGAAAAGGAGGTGAGGAGCAAAGGCTGCAGACCACGTTCAAAGAAGACCTGGGAGTCAGCATAATGCCTACTATATCACCAGAGGCTCGTATCAACCAAATAATCTTTGTAACCAATGCTTATCTGGCAAGTGTGGCCTTAGGGAATCTCAAAGTCAGTTTTGGTGTGCTATACAACATATATCAGGCCAATCTTGGAGTATGCAACACCCAAATGGAACCCACACCTAAGGCAGCATGTTAAGAAACTAGAAATTGCAGAAGTATGCAGAGACTAGTTCTAGCACTAAGGGATATGAGCTACAAAGAAAGGCTCAAGGAACTGAATCTAATGACCCTGGAAGACAGAAGGGCCAGGGAAGACATGGTAACTATATACAAAATGCTCAGAGAAATTGATAGGGCAGAAAGGAACAGGCTGTTTGTGAGATTGGAAACAGGTACTCAGGGACACAGGTGAGTCACAAGGACATCAGAAAGTATTTCTCAAGTCTCAGGGTTGTCAAGAAGTGGAATGATCTCCATGAAGAAGTGGTGGAGGCAAACTCCATACATAGTTTTAAGAATAGGTACAATAGGGCCTATGAGGCTAGGAGAATGAATCTGGCAAGTGGCACACTGAGAGGTGAGCACACCTACACTTACTCTCTTTATCATAACTCACTTTTTCAGTTGTGACAGCATTCCAAGTGAGTTATATAATCATCCATACAGAAAAACTGTTCATCACATAATGGACATAGGACTTCCAACTGGGCCAAACTAAATGAATCGTCAACAATGTGACCTGACAGACTAGGAGCCCCAGAATCTAATTCCATTATTGATGAGAATTCCTCAGTTGAACAAACTTCACCCGAGTTAGATTTTATTTGGTCAACTGGAGCTGAAGGAAAAAGTGCAACAGTACTGACTAAGTTTGGTGACTGCTGAATGGTTAAATCGTTGTCCATGATGCCATTTTCATTATGATGGGGTAATGCTACCAGTTCTATTTGTTTCTCTGATGCTTGACTCTGAGCAAAAGGAATACTGGTATCTTCTGACAAAGACACATCACTGCTTCCACTAGGAATTGTGTTACTGTTTATATTTTTAGTGTCATATTCTGTCTGAAAGTGTATGTTCTGTAAACACTGTACATTAAAATCCACTCCCCCTAACTGCTGACTAGAATCTCCATCCTTATGGAACTCGCTATAGTCATCTGAAAATGTGTGGTGGCTACAGAGTCCAATGTATGAATTATCACAAAATTTAAATAACAGAAGAGAGTCATCACCACTCTCGCATGTAGATATAGCACACTTGCCATTACTAGACAAAATAATACAGGGATCTTGTTTTTCAGATATACTTAAAGTCTCGCTGGTAATATCCTTAGCTGATAACAATTTTAAAGATTCAGACTTGCAATTTGGAACTAAATTATTCTGGGAACCATTTACTCTACTATCTTCAGTGTGAACAATTCTTTGAGAGCTAGAACTGGAAGCATCACACCCTACTGAGATAGAACTGGAAGCATCACACCCTACTGAGCTAGAACTGGAAGCATCACACCCTACTGAGATAGAACTGGAAGCATCACAGCCTAGTGAACTACAACTGGAAGCATCACAGCCTAGTGAACTACAACTGGAAGCATCACAGCCTAGTGAACTAGAACTGGAAGCATCACAGCCTACTGGCATTTGTATTTCTCCACTTGTATTAAATTTTATTATAACTTTATTAAAACTTGTTTTGTCTACTACTGGTAATTCGTGTTGCAACTCAGAACTGTCATTTCCAGCAGATACAACACAGATGACATTTAATGATGGTGAACGACATCCAAGTGATGACACATCCACATCTTTAACCGTAAAACTACCAACCTCCTCAGGAGAAACTACAAGTGATTTTATGTCACAGTCTACTAATGGGGAAAGAATTCTTTCATCTGACTTTTCATTAAGAATGTCAACATTTTCTTTTGATTTTAAAACAAATGAGCTTTTCACCACCTTTTCTTTGTTTTTCACTTTCCCATATAGTTTACTGTCTGTAATTTGATTAGGTATGACCAAACTTTGTTGACCAGTCAGATGAACTCCATTTGTTGAACTTAAATGATGCTTCTTCTTATGGGTATACAATGTGTTCCTATAAGCAGTTGCATACCCACATATATCACAATGAAACGGTTTTTCACCTGTCAAAGAAAACAAATTTCACTATGTGACAAAAATGAAATTGCACTGTAATAAAATCCTACACAAGAATTAACTAATGACTGCTTTGAAATTCATATTCTTCCTCAATATGAATGTTCATTCTATTATTTTTTAAGATTATTATTAGCATTATTATTTTAACATGTCGGCCATTTCCTGCCAAGGGAGGGTACCTAAAAAGAAAGAAAAACCCAAAAAGAAAGAAAAAAACTTTTATCATTCAACGCTTTCATCAACACTCATACATAATCACTGTCTTTGCAGAGGCAGCCAGATACGACAGTTCAGATGTCCCTCCAAACTGCCAATATCCCAAACCCCTCCTTTAAAGTGCAGGCATTGTACTTCCCATTTCCAGGACTCAAGTCCAGCTAACCGATTTCCCTGAATCCCTTCACAAAATATTACCCTGCTCACACTCCAACAGCTCATCAGGTCTCCTATCTAACAAGCTCACGCACGCTTGCTGGAAGTCCAAGCTCCTCGCCCACAAAACCTCCTTTACCCCCTCCTTCCAACCTTTTTGGGGCCAACCCCTACCCTGCTTTCCTTCATTCTTTGTTCCGTTCTCTAAATGACCAAACCATCTCAACAGCCCCTCTTCAGTCCCCTGAATAATACTTTTAGTAACTCCACACCTCCTAATTTCCACAATACAAATTCTCTGCATAATATTTACACCACACATTGCCCTTAGACAGGACATCTCCGCTGCCTCCAGCCACCTCCTTGCCACAGCATTTACAACCCATGCTTTACACTCCTATAAGTGTGTTGGTACCACTATACTCTCGTACATTCCCGTCTTTGCCTCCATGGATAACATTTTTTGTCTCCACAGATATTTCTACACACCACTCACCTTTTTTCCTTCATCAATTCTATGGTTAACCTCATCCTTCATAAACCCATCTGCTGACAAAAGTCAACTCCCAAATACCTGAAAACATTCACTTCTTCCATACTCCCTCCTTCCAATGTGATATCCATTTTTTCTTTATCTAAATCGTTTGATACCCTCATTACCTTACTTTTATCTATGTTCACTTTCAACTTTCTACCTTTACACACCCTCCCAAACTCATCTACTAACCTGTGCAACTTTTCTTTAGAATCCCCCCAAAAGCACAGTATCATCAGCAAAAAGTAACTGTGTCAACTCCCATTTTGTATTTGATTCCCAATAATTTAATCCCACCCATCTCCTCAACACCCTAACATTTACAACCCCATCTATAAGTATGTTAAACAACCATGGTGACATTACACATCCCTGTCTAAGACCTACTTTTACTGGGAAGTAATCTTCCTTTCTCCTACACACCCTAACCTGAGCTTCACTATCCTCAAAAATTTTTTTACAGCATTTAGTAACTTATCACCTAATCCATACACCTGCAACATTTGCCACATTGCTCGGCTATTCACTCTATCATATGCCTTTTCTAAATCCATAAAAATGCAATGAAAACTTCCCTACCTTTATCTAAATACTCTTCGCATATATGCTTCAATGTAAACACTTGATTTACATATCCCCTACCCATTCTCAAGCCTCCTTGCTCAGCTGCAATCCTGTTCAATATTCAATGGGGATTGTCACTGATTTACGAAAAGCTTTTAATACAGGTGACCTCTCTGTTGGGCTATATTTTTTCACTTCTCTAACAAGTGTTTCTTTTCTGTTGAGAAAGCCTGGAGCCTTTAAGAAGTTCTGTGATTCCTCTTTGTCTGTGGAGGTCAGCCACTCTCACTCACTCAGACACACACACACACACACACACACACACACACACACACACACACACACACACACACACACACTCACTCTCGCTCACACTCTCGCTCACACTCTCGCTCACACTCTCTCTCTCACTCTCTCATCTCACTCTCACTCTCACTCACTCTCACTCACTCTCACTCACACTCACTCACACTCACTCACACTCACTCACACTCTCACTCACACTCTCTCTCTCAAAATTGCATGTTTTCTAATTTATTTCTCAACGTATGTCTGGAGCATACTTCTAATGCCATTGAGCTCATCTTAAAAATACCAGTTCATCCTCATGTTGTTCATACTATCTTCCTAGCTTATTTCAGAGCTTATATCTGTAATGTAGGGGAAAGAAGGCGGGGTAGGGGTCATCCTTGAAAAGGTTGGAGGGAGGGGGTAAAGGAGGTTTTGTGGGCGAGGGGCCTGGACTTCCAGCAAGCATGCGTGAGCATGTTAGATAGGAGTGAATGGAGACGAATGGTATTTGGGACCTGACGAGCTGTTGGTGTGAGCAGGGTAATATTTAGTGAAGGGATTCAGGGAAACCAGTTATTTTTATATAGCCGGACTTGAGTCCTGGAAATGGGAAGTACAATGCCTGCACTTTAAAGGAGAGGTTTGGGATATTGGCAGTTTGGAGAGATATGTTCTGTATCTTTATACATATATGCTTCTAAGCTGTTGTATTCTGAGCACCTCTGCAAAAACAATGATTATGTGTGAGTGAGGTGAAAGTGTTGAATGATGATGAAAGTATTTTCTTTTTGGGTCACCCTGCCTCGGTGGGAGATGGCCGACTTGTTAAAAAAAAAAAATCTGTAATGTCATGGTCATGGATCATTTGGTCCCTCTTAATGTATTTATTGTTAAAACTGAATTTGATAACTGATAATTTTCATTTCCATAAAATATACTAAATTTCCATAAAGTATTTCTGATCTGGCCAATACATACTGTCATGAGATTACTGTCCCTCACAACTGACAAATGAAAGGATGACTAGAAGCCCAGCTAAAACATATACAGAATACTGAAAGCAATCTCCTAGGTGATGAGTAACTTAAGTAATGTATACAGGAGAAGGGGTTACTAGGGCCTTGCTCCTGGCATTTTAGTTGCCTTTTACGATGTGCATGGCTTACGGAGGAAGAATTCTGTTCCACTTCCCCATGGAGAATAAGCACATGTATGTTTTAAAAAAGCTGATATGGATATTTCACTATCTTAAAATTCTGAAGGAAAAGAAAAGTAACCTCTCAATTGTATATTGATCTGAACACTGGAAGGATGAGTATAACAGAATTAGAGGATGACTTACAGACAAGAGGGAAGTCTTGATCTTTAGATGATTAGTAGGAAATCAACATCATGAAAAAGGGAGGGTGCGTGAGTGCAGTACTGTATATACTGTACAAGAAAAAGTCCCATGAATATATAAAGGAACATAGAACAAGCTAGAAGATTGCCTGGAGGCTTTGTGTCATGATTGCTCCTTCAGATAAAATGGAGTATAAGCATAAGACATAGCTCAAACGCAGTTTTTTAAAACTAGCATTACAAAAACAAATACAGTAGGGCCCCCCTTTACAGCATTTAACTAATGCAGCAGTTTTCAATTACAGTAGGGCCCTGCTTTTCGGCGTTCCGCCAATACGGCGATCTCAAATTATGACCAAAACTTTCTATATGGCAAGTGGTCTTTCAAATACAACGCGAGCCACCCGGTTTGTTTACATTCTCCATGAGCACATCTCTATTATGTAATAATAATCACTCTTGGGTACATTAAATGTCTAATTTTATGTCAATATAGACCTTTTCATTAATCCATGTATGATATTTTCTTCAAAATTATATAAGAAACACGTTACATAGCATATAAACATGCTGTTTATATGCTATGGAGGTGTGGTTGCCAGGCGGAGGGAAAACATTATAACACTCCCCTTAATACATAACGCTTTTGTTTACAATTCTCGGCATGAATTATTCATTACTTCTCCTTTTGTTTATGATGACATTTAAAGGTAGTTGTTAGAAATGATTAAACTCGGTGAACATGGTATGTCGATGGTAATAATATGGCTCTGAGTCACATTAAATATCGTGTAGGTATGTAGCCCAGGTGAACTACATACCTACATTATTATTATAACTGATAATTATATGTATGTGTACCTGTACCTAAGTAAACTTACACACTGTGCTGGCATGCAGGTACATATTAAAATCACTAAGAGTGTCTTATTAGTCTTGAAAACACCATATTAATGGTAATAATAATAATAACACAATAATAATCACTCTAAGGAGCATTAAATATCGTATAAAATGTTAATATAGACATTTTGCTTAATCCATCTAAATATACCCCATAGTAGAATAAATTAACATAAATATGAGATGTGATAGCCAGGTCACTTGTAGGACTTGTCGTAGCCAGGCGACTTGTAGGACTTGTGGTAGCCAGGCAACTTGTAGGACTTGTGGTAGCCAGGCAATTTGTGGTAGCCAGGCAACTTGTACGACTTGTGGTAGCCAGATAACTTGTAGGACTTGTGGTAGCCAAGCAACCTGTGGTAGCCAGGCAACTTGTAGGATTTGTGGTAGCCAAGCAACCTGTGGTAGCCAGGCAACTTGTAGGACTTGTGGTAGCCAGGAAACTGGTAGGACTTGTGGTACCCAGGCAACTTGTAGGACTTGTGGTAGCCAGGCAACTTGTAGGATTTGTGGTAGCCAAGCAACCTGTGGTAGCCAGGCAACTTGTAGGACTGGTGGTAGCCAGGAAACTAGTAGGACTTGTGGTACCCAGGCAACTTGTAGGACTTGTGGTAGCCAGGCAACTTATAAGACTTGTGGTAGCCAGGCAACTTGTAGGACCTGTGGTAGTCAGGCAACTTATAGGACTTGTGGTAGCCAGGCAACTTGTAGGACTTGGGACGAAAACCAGATGCGTTCATCTGGTTTGTTTACATTATGTGGGTGGGCTGGGGAGGGCTGCCCTTTCTGGCTACCCATACTTCGCAACCTGATTTCATACAAATAAAACTCACCTCTCACCCTACATTAAGACCACAAATATTTTAAGGTAATTAATGAGTGTACTATATATGCATTTTATCGATCTAGGGAGCTTAATGTCGTAGTAGGTATAAGTGGTCAGGCAGGATACCATACCTCCCACACGACTTTCTACAAATAAATACTTTTCACCTCTCACCCTACATTAAGACTACAAATATTTTAAGGTAAGTAATGTGTCTACTCTATATGCATTTTATCACTCTAGGGAGCTTTAAGCATTGTAGTATAGTATGTGTGGATGGGGTGGCCAGGAGGGCTACCACACCTGACTTCTTAGAGTAAATACTACTTGCCTTTTGCCCTACATTAAGACTACAAATATTTTGAGGTAAATAATGAGTGTACTATGTGTATTTTACTTTTTAATGCTTAGTTCTATTGCTAACTTAGTATATGTTAGTGTAAACTTGTTATCTGGCATTTATATGCATTTATAAATGGAAAAAAGTGGAGTTCTGCTTTCCAGCGAAGTCTGCTTTCCAGCAGTAGCCCGGAACCTAACTTGCCGAATAAGTAGGGCCCTACTATATACCCATTCTACATTTATTTAAAACTTCCTATAATAAATATATTCACCACTCGCTATAAGTTAAGGGTGAAAATATTTTAAGGTAAGTAATGTGTGTACTGTGCATACATTTTAAGGCCTACTCTATTGCTCACTTAGTATGTGATAGTGTAAACAGGTTTTTAGGCTTTTACATGCATTTTGATAATGAAAAATGGCTACTTTACAGCAGTACCCTGGAACTTAAACTGCTGTATAAGCAGGGCCTGCCTGTACTAAATAAAAAAAAAAATACAAAACCTCTAATACTGTAACAACACATACTTTAAATTTTATATAATACAGTGGACCCCCGCATAGCGAACGCCTTGCATAGCGAACATTCCGCATAGCGAACGCTTTGTCCGCTAAAATTCTGCCCCGCATAGTAGACAAAAACCCGCTCAGCGAACTTCGTTCGAGACGCGTCCAATGTGGGCCCTCAGCCAGCCTCACATGTGCCGCCCGTCCCATTGTTTACCAGCTAGCCTCCGCGGTAACATTCAAGCATACACTCGGAATATTTCGTATTATTACAGTGTTTTCGGTGCTGTTTGTGGAAAATAAGTGACCATGGGCCCCAAGAAAGCTTCTAGTGCCAACCCTACACCTCAAAGGGTAAGAATACCCATTGAAATTAAGAAAGAAATCATTGATAAGTATGAAAGTGGAGTACGTATCACCGACCTGGTCAGGTTGTACAAGAAACCAAAATCAACCATCGCTTCTATTGTGGGCAAGAAAACGGCAATCAAGGAAGCTGTTGTTGCCAAAGGTTTAACTGTGTTTTCGAAACAAAGATCGCAAGTGATGGAAGATGTTGAGAGACTCTTATTGGTGTGGATAAATGAAAAACAGCTAGCAGGAGATAGCGTCTCTCAAGCGATCATATGTGAAAAGGCTAGGAAGTTGCATGACGATTTAATTAAAAAAATGCCTGCAACTAGTGATGATGTGAGTGAATTAAGGCCAGCAAAGGTTGGTTTTGAGAGATTTAAGAAGCGTAGTGGCATCCATAGTGTGATACGGCATGGTGAGGCTGCCAGTTCGGACCACAAAGCGGCTGAAAAATATGTGCATGAATTCAAGGAGTACATAGAAACTGAAGGACTGGAACCTGAACAAGTGTTTAATTGTGATGAAACAGGCCTGTTCTGGAAGAAAATGCCAAGCAGGACCTACATTACTCAGGAGGAAAAGGCACTCCCAGGACATAAGCCTATGAAAGACAGGCTTACTCTTCTCATGTGTGCCAATGCTACTGGTGATTGCAAAGTTAAGCCTTTATTAGTGTATCACTCTGAAACTCCCAGAGCGTTCAGGCAAAAGAATGTCCTCAAGGATAATTTGTGTGTGCTGTGGAGGGCAAACAGTAAGGCATGGGTCACTAGGGAATTTTTCTATAACTGGTTACACCATGCATTTGCCCCCAATGTGAAAGATTACCTAACTGAAAAGAAATTAGACCTTAAGTGCCTCCTGGTGTTAGACAATGCCCCTGGTCATCCTACAGACGTGGCAGAGCGACTTTATGGGGACATGAGCTTCATTAAGGTGAAGTTTTTGCCTCCTAATACCACTCCTCTCCTGCAGCCCATGGACCAGCAGGTCATTTCCAACTTCAAGAAACTGTACACAAAAGCTCTGTTTTCAAAAGTGCTTTGAAGTGACCACAGACACTGGATTGACTCTAAAAGAGTTTTGGAAGGATCACTTTAATATCCTCAGTTGTGTAAACCTTATAGGTAAGGCTTGGGAGGGAGTGACTAAGAGAACCTTGAACTCTGCTTGGAAGAAACTGTGGCCAGAATGTGTAGACAAAAGGGATTTTGAAGGGTTTTGAGGGTAACCCTGAGAGGAGTAGTATACCAGTTGAGGAATCAATTGTGGAATTGGGGAAGTCCTTGGGGTTGGAGGTTAGTGGGGAGGATGTGGAAGAGTTGGTGGAGGAGGACAATGAAGAACTAACCACTGATGAGCTGATAGATCAACTTCAAGAGCAAGAGGCCAGACCTGGGGAAACTGGTTCAGAGGAGGGGAGAGAGAAATTGAAGGAATTGCCTACTTCAAAGATTAAGGAAATGTGTGCAAAATGGCTTGAAGTGCAAACCTTTTTTGATGAAAATCACCCTCACACAGCTATTGCAAGCCGTGCTGGTGACTATTACAATGACACTGTTGTGAAACACTTTAGGAAAGTCATAAAGGAACGAGAGGTACAGGCCACTATGGACAGATATCTTGTGCGAAAGAAGTCCAGTGACTCTGAAGCTGGCCCTAGTGGCATTAAAAGAAGAAGGGAAGTAACCCCAGAAAAGGACTTGCTACCTCAAGTCCTAATGGAAGGGGATTCCCCTTCTAAACACTAACACTCTCTCTCCCCTCCTCCCATCCCATCAATCATCACCAGATCTTCAATAAAAGTAAGTGTCATGTAATTGTGCATGCCTTTTTCAGTTTGTGTGTACTAAAATTAACATTTTTTTGTGGTAAAAAAATTTTTTTTCATACTTTTGGGTGTCTTGCACGGATTAATTTTATTTCCATTATTTCTTATGGGGAAAATTAATTCGCATAGCGAACATTTCGCATAACGACCAGCCCTCTTGCACGGATTAAGTTCGCTATGCGGGGGTCCACTGTATACTGTACTCTAATCCATAATAATGCCTTATTTACATACATAATCATAGACTATATTTTTATGTCAGTAAGAGCAGGTTAAAATACATTTTACCTGCTCTTTCTGCAATGTACTTCTATGGTTACTTGGAACTAGGTACTAGAATGAACATCCAATTAAAATTCACCAACCTTTGTGACTACTTTCATGAAAGGTTAGCTGGTCCTTAGTTTTGTAACATTTGCCACAAAAGGAACACTGGAAAGGTCTATTCGAGGAATGAGCAGCACGCCTATGTTTGTTCAGGTGAGACACGCTCAGGTAAGTCTTGCCACAGTCTACACACACATGGGGACGAATACCTAACAAGAAAATTCAATAATGGGCATGAAAGAAAAAAAACAGGCATTTTAGTGAACCTAGTTAAAAGTGCAAGAGGAACAATCAAAGTAGACAAAATGAGATAATGAAGAAATTGGTTATGCTTCTCACTTTATGAAACAGTTCTACTGGCTTACTTATGTACAGTAACAACCATGGCTACATCCACAGGCATACAGCACTGAATCTTTTTGGGGGGTATACAAAAGTACCTGAATTTTATGTTACAACAAAATGCCTGAAATGAGAAAAAAAGAAGCTAGTAAAACTAGTCAATTGCATATGTGCTATATAATCACAAGTACCTGCAGTTTGACATGCCTTAGAGGCATGTCAAACTGCAGGCTTTCTACAACTTTACTGCTGTATATCTTCACACAGTGTGCTAATGATAGTGCTATTTAACCCTTTGACTGTCACAAGCCCCTTTCTGAAACTCATTCTGTTGAAAAATTTTTGGAAAAAAAAAATTATTTTTTTTCTTATGAAATGACAGAGAATCTTTTCCTGATGGTAATGACACCAAAAGTACAAAATTTGATGGAAAACTCATGGAATTATCCTCCCGTGAAGTTAGCGATCTCGGCGATGTATACACATCGGCGATTTTGCTGATTTTGAGCCCTATTTTCGGCCTATTCCATTGTTCCAGTCAACAAAACTCATAGCAATTTCTTTAGAACTCCATTTTTTCTATCAACTGTGTACAAGAAACTGCCTAGTTAACAATTTTAACTACCCAATAAAGTGGTGAGAAATTGGCAATTTGGCCAATTTTATGCAAATTAAAAAAAGATGCCAATTTCAAAATAGGGTCCAGAATAAACAATGCAGACATTCTTGGCACTAAAATAACATATCCTCTGTTCATTAATCACGTCTCCAGGCCCCTCTTATATTACTCTTGCTTTCTATTTTGATTTTTTATTCACACAAAAAATAGAAGATTTACTGTATTGCAGACTACTGCATTATTGTGGAAATGGTATAAATGATATTAGTGCACTAGTGAAAGAATATTAGATTCCCCAGTTCACATGTATTGAATGAGTGGTGTGATTTGTTTACTCTTGCACATTGGTAAAAATCGAACATTTCCACTAATGTGAGCTCAATTTCAAGGTTATTTTTGTCGTGAAACTAATCAAAATCACCACTATTTCTGTAATATGCTTCCCATTCTATCAAATGAGACCACGAAACCGAGAATACACCCATAAATATTATACGAAAATACACCTCAAAGTCAGCGTTTTAATCCAAAAACACAGTCAAGAGTTTTCTTTTTCTCATTATGCACTGCGTGCTGCAGGATTTTTTTTTTATGTGGTGCACACTGACCACACAGACCCATTGTCTCACATGTGGGCCTACCAGCTTTCTCCTGCTTGATATGAAGCCACTAGAATTATTGAGTACATATATGTCCAAAACACTGGCTCATAAAATGTATATATATGGCCGAAACAATCAAAGGGTTAATCCCTTGACTGTCTCTCGTGTAGATATATGTGACTGTCTCTCGTGTAGATATATGTGACTGGGGGCCTGTGGCACTTGCATAGATCTATGCAAAAATCACAGCACCCTCAAATATGCTGTGAACGGCAAATTTTGGCCTAGAACG